TATATTTCGACGAAACGAACGTAAATAAGTATTGTAGCTTCCCCCGTCTTTCCTCAAAAGATAAGATCTAATTACTCTAACCGCTCGGACATACATTATAAATAATGTCGGCTGACGAATATCCTGACAGATATAAAGAATCAGTTTCCCCAGCTGGGAATGAGAATAATCCCGACGTAGAGGTCGAGGTTGGAGACGGAGGCGGGGGCGGCCGCCACAATATTGATAATTCTACATTTCCTCACACAAAAGAAATGTATATTCTACCATAAGAATTTGATTTTTGGGTAGAAAACAAACTAGTTTGAATTTTCTCAACATCACCTATGGTATAGACGATCTCAACTCCACAAACAAATAGGTTGACAAAATTGTCTATCCTTAAACAATTTTCTGACAAATCCTTATTCTCCTTCTCTACTTTTTCTGCTTCCACCCAAGCAAGCTTTCCATGTCTTATGATCAAGGATTGATTGTAATTGGTTGATCTGATTTATTGATTAAATATGGCTGAAGCAAATTTAATTTAGAGTAAAATGTCAGCATCAGCATCAGTATACAGAAGTGTGAGGTGATCCTGTTGAAACTTCAGGTCGTTTCATTCAGTGGTGCTTCGTTCAAAAAATGAACCTGAACAATTTTTGCTCGCATGGCGGGTGGACGCACATATAAATTTTATGGAAGCATTTGGTGCTGAGAGGACCAGTGCTTGTCCAATCTAATCTTGAAAGAAAAGTGATTGAGGATGTCTTTTAAAATCTAGCGGTTTACAAAACATTAATATAATAGACTCTACTTGATTCAATAAAATATAATAAAATAATAGATCAACAGGGAAATGACAAGTACGACGGAAACATAAAAAAGTAAACAATTAAAAAAGAAATCTACAAATTCAAATTTTGTGCACACCCACACACACGTGTAGAGTTAAATTTATTTGTAAAATGTTATTTCTTGATAATTTAAAAACAGAGGTCAACCATGCATTGCTGTAGAATGGCTGTCTACTACAATAAATAAAGTCAGAGCATGGTTGTCTTGTTGTTGCAAAAATGATTTTCACTTTCACGCGTGCGGAAAGCTAGAGTTTGGTGTTTATTATTAGCCAGCATCACAGGTGCACATGCACGGCCATGGACCTAGACGAGCGCAGCAGATCAGATTTGGTCGTGGATTCCCGATGTTTCCAACTAAAAAATAAGCAGATGGGACTGAGAGTATGCGCAGTAGCGGACGATGTTTTAATATATGGCCTACTGAGCTCAACTTTGTTGATTCATCATGTACTCTTTTGAAAAATAATGTGCAATATAACAAGAATTCGGTTCTTACCTTTCAAAATACCGTGAAACTTGACAGCTAACAGAAATTCTGGCGACTTTTAAAATTTCTTTCCTCTCACCACTTACTAGTATGGTGTTGTCGATGCAACAATTCGAGAAGAAAAAATCAATACTGTGCTCCTGATCCTGTCCATTGTTTTGCTCATGGACATACTACTGCTTTGCTTCTCTTTCACTCATTTTGTTCTCCAGTCAACATCTAATCCATGTACCTTTTCTTCTTATGATACTACTGACAGAACGATGGGTTTCTTGGGAAATGATGTTTAAAAGGGACCTGTTGACACCTTTGACACCTTCGCGAATATTTCCTCATTTGATTTTCTGTATTCCAAAGAAACCCATCGTTCTGCAGCTTTAATTCTGCTATCCATTTTCTCAAAGTCAGAACTCGCAACCACTTGATTTGAAAATGTAGGAAAGCATTCAATGCAATAGGCCTTCAAGTTCGCGAACTTTGGGGTGAGGTTGGAAAGTGGGTGTGAAAAGATCCTGACATCTTCCCTCAGTCGCGGATCCAGGATTTCTTAGGGGAGGGGGCCCAACTTTTTTTTTTTTGCTCCCGAAAATTTGAAAATCGCGCCGGCCGAAAAGTCGCTCAGTGGGGGGGGGGGGGGGGGGGGGGGGGGGGGGGGGGGGGGGGGGGGTGTTACAGAGCACTTTTTTTTTTTTTTTTTGCTTCCGAAAATTTGAAAAACGCGCCGGCCAAAAATTCGCTCAGTGGGGGGGGGGGGGGGGGGGGGGGGGGGTTAGTGAGCACATTTTTTTTTTTTTGATCCTCAAAAAACATTCAATTTGCACCCCCCCCCCCCCCCCCCTTGAGCGCCAGGGGGGCCTAACCCCCAAAAAAGGTAAAAATCACGTGATTTTACATGATTTTTTTCTCAAGGGGGGTGGGGGGGGGCCCCCGGGCCCCCCCCCCCTGGATCCGCCACTGTCTTCCCTAACTTGAGAGGCCAGCCGTGCCCTCCCTAATCTCACTTTGCATTCTGACAAGGGATGGCATCGTGTTTTGGGAGCTTCAGTTCAGTTCAGTTCAGTTTATTAAAAAACACATGGCATAGTAATCCTGGATAGTAATCATGACGAACAAACATGATCCAAATTGAGACCCCAAAAAGCAATGCTTGTGAGTGGGGCCCCTTTGAGGATGGACCTCTCAATCCCAGCTTATATTTATCTAGAAATTCACACTAGGAATGCACAATAATTAATGTTTATTGCAAAATTTTAGTTTAGCAGGCTTTGGAAAATACCTAATTTTCCATATTTAGTCAATTTCAGTGAGCTCTTAACCAAATCCTGTTTGAAGCATTATTTTCAAAAGCATTCATTTGTCACATTCTGAATTAAAATACTGCATGGGATTGGTGAGGGAGGGAGCGGGGAGGGAGTTCCCCTTGCACACTGATGAAAGTTTGAGAATTAGAAGTGACTAAAATTTATAAATATTTCAGCCGAGGATGCGGGTTCGCGTCTTTTGGATGCCCCCTCCCGCGCGAAGCGCGGAAGCTTTGACGTTTAATTAAATTATTAGAGAAAGAAGATGGTTCTTAATTTGTCCGATAAACAGTAACAGTTCGTTGGGGGAAAAATGCCGGCTGACCGACCTAATACATCTTACCGACTTCAAATTTCTGCATTGATATAGTAATAGTACACGAGGATCGAGCAAGAATACCGACACAGCAACATAATATCTATGCGTATCTTTCTTGCCCCCTCGACGTGGTGACTCCAATCAACATCCCCTATCTCTCTTACTCTCACCCTCTTTTCTCAGGCTCTGCCCCCCCGTTTCTCTCTCTCCTCTTTTTCATCCCCGTATCTTTGGTTACTTTTCTCTTTTTTTCTTCTCCTTTTCTCTTTTTCTTTCTTTTCTTTCTTTTCCTTTCTTTCCTCTCCTTCCTCTTTTTCTTTTTACTCTTTCATTCTTCTTTCCTCTGTTTTCCTTTTCTTTTATTTCCCTTTCCCTCTCATTTTCCCTCCCCCTTTTCTCATTTCCCCCGACAGCAGCGCAATTTTACCGACAATATCATGACACACTTAGCTACGCCCTGGTTGTTATCCCATTTCTCTTTAAAAGAAATGCAATCTCTTATCTCTTATCTCTTATCTCTTATGCTCTCGCTCCTCTCTTCTATCGTTGTTTACTTCTCTTTCCTTTTTCCCTTTCTCCTTTAACTCATAAAAATGCTCTTCTTTTTTTCCTCCTCTTTTTGTTGTTCTTCATGTGCTTTTTTGTGTGTGGGGGGGGGGGGGGGCTACACACCTGACAAGAGGGACCCCATATTGTGCACACCACAAAATTGTGTGCCGCCCCCCCCCCCGCCAACCCTTTCCCGGTAAAAAAAAAAAAAACTTCTTATAATATCACCCCCCCCTTTTTTTTTATCCCCTTCTCATTATTCTCCTCCCCCTTTTTTTTCTCTCCTCCGTCTTTCTTGTTTTTCCGCCTTTTCCCTCTCTCTCTCCCCTTTCTTCCTTTCCGCCCTGCTTTTTCTCTCCGGGCCCTCTTTTCTTCTTCTTTCTCTCTACCCTTTTCTTTCTTTTCCCCTCCTTTTTCTCCTTTTCTCTCTTTTTAGTTCCCCCTTCCCCTTTTTGGCTACGGGGGGGGGGGGGGGGGGGGACACGTGCCCCTTTGCCCCCTGAATCCGCCACTGCCAACGGTCACCGCTTAGACATTGTTTGCAATACAGAGGGGGCAAGTAGCTAGTGCAGTGGGGCTTTAAAGCTTATCTGCCATAGTTTACAGGAGGGATTATAGATCGCCCTGCAAGTACGTCACTGGACAGGTGGTTATCTCATCAACTCAGCTCTCAGTCAACATAAGAAAAAGAGGATCATGAGGGACCAATGGTCACCGATTAGGCATTGTTTGTTATATAGAGGGCGCAAGTAGCTACAAGTAGTGCAGTGGGCCTTTAAGGTTTTGCCATATTCCACTTGCATGAAATGTTCAACTGGAGATTATGGGTGAGATTTTATCCTGAAGAAAATAGTAACTCATGTTTAAGGCCAAGATCTGAAATGTGGGGGCACTTTTAACGATTTTTGCAGCACAAAATCATACCCATGTTTAGGGATTTTTTTTTCTTCATTTTTTATTTTTTTTATTTTTTTTTGGGGGGGGGGGGGTATACAGGTCCATTTTCATTGGTAAATTTATATCAACACGTTGAAAAATAGAAATTTACATTTCACATAGACAACTCAGTTATAAACATCACATTTATAGACAACTGGCAAGCTAACAAAAGCAGTGATGTTACTATATCAATTATCATATCTCTGACCAAACCATGACTTGACAGTCATGTATGTAGGCCTACCCCAATCGTCTTGCATTGCAACAATTCCATAGGGCTACTCTTTATTAATTAAAAAAGGGGATAAAATCTAATGTCAGACATAATCTTGTAAACTTGATCTTGTATAAATAGCCTACATGTTGCATAATAGCAATCCGTTATCTGGCCATCCTTCCTCTGCAACCACACAATGGTCCCGACAGAGCATCAAGGACAAAATACCGACCACAAGCACAGACGTTCGTAGACGTATAGACATGGTTTGAGTTCGATGAGACACCCCCATTTGATTGTCTTCTCCTTAGCAACGGGCATTGCTACACACGCTTTCGGATACGGTCGCAACGTGTGTACTTGTGTACTGTGTGTGTGTTATCGCGATGCGAACAATACAGGTGCATGCGGAACACCACCACCACGAAAATAGCAACGTAGGCCGCTCAATGCATCTGACCCCAACTTTAGGACCTCAGCAACATCACATCAATGATAAGGAATAACATGGATATACAAATATTTATTTCCCGATTTTATGCAACATAACTCTAGATTTACAGAAATGAGCGAGCAGCTGTTTGGACATAAAACCACTTAATTTTCGTGCAGTTTATTGTGGAATCAATTTCTCTTCCGGATATCGGTGTGACAACCCCTTTTCACGGCCAGGCGAGACGGCGGAAGCGACAGGTGTTGAATTTGGAGCATTTCACAGATTCTTACTGCAAGTAACATGAGACGAAATGCAGAATCATCAATAATCTTTATGCAGAGTGTGATGTTTTAACGATTTTGGTGCATGGTGGACACTTGTGATGAATGTAAGATCTAAGATTAAGAATTTGTTCGAAGTTTATTTGAGTAAACAACAAGTTCCTGAAAAATCTGGGACTTGTTCATTGCCATTGTGGTGATGTCTTGACTATTTGATTCTGCAAGTAAGAGTTGAAATTTCATGATCTACAACCGCTAACACTATAAAGCAATCTTTGAAACTTAATAATAAAGAAGAAGCAGAGAAGGACCCAGTGTCAACAATGCCAGTTGCACAAACCAGACTTGAAATCTTGCAAGTTCACAAGTTCTTGCAGTGTGTACGATCCAAGGACAAAGCACAGATTGAGAAACTGTGCTCAAATGGAGTCCCACATCTCGTCAACTACAGTGAACCAGAAGAAGGTGAAACAGGATTGCATTTGGCAGCAAGGGTCAATGATGAGGAGATGGTACGATTCCTTCTCGACTTGGGAGCCCATCCCAATGTCATTGATCTTAAAGGGAGAACAGCTGCGATGAGAGCTGCAGAGTTTGGCCATGTCCAGACTCTGGAAATTTTAGCCACAGCTGGCTCAGACATGAAGATAAAAGATACTGATGGCAAAGGTGAGGAAGATTTTATACTCAACCAGCAGACAAGATTCAAGCTGATGTTTTTTTCAGGTCTATATGAAAATATGAAGTAGACTAAAATGTTTTAAGAGGAACTGATAATTATGATTTCTGTATTCACAAAAGAATTACATACTTCATACTTGATACTTGGAGTACATTTGAAGTCATAATGAGCAATGCAATTTTTTTCTTTTTCTAGTTAGTCCCTAATTTGGTCAGTAAGTTAATAATATAAGTGATTCTTTAAACGTACGGATTATGATGAACATACAAATAAACCAAATTTATATTTATGGAGGTGTATTTTGAGAATTCATACTTTAAACTCTTGTTCTTTTCATTTTTCTTTATAGGTATTTTGTTCTTCTGTATTTTGCCAACCAGTCGTCATGCTCGCTGTACAGCCATTGTTATTGAGAATGGAGCAGAGTGTAACAACACATCTAATGATGGCATGCCTCTTCTGGTTGTAGCCTGTCTAGAAGCAAAAGAGAATGAAGATATCTGTAAGAAGCTTCTCGACCAAGGCGCTGATCCAAACAGCACACATCCAGTAAGTTTCCCAATCCCACAGGAGCTACTGTAGACAAGATTTCAGGATATAAGGGAAAAATTCAATGATGAACATTCCATGAAAAGGAATTGTATTTAAGCAAAGAAAATTTCAAGAGCAAAATCAGACATTAGGATACGCATTTAACTACAACTTGAATACTTTGAATGGCATACAAAGAGAGATAAGTATTTGATGTATGAAATAATATGTAGGCCTACTATGGAAACAAATGAAAGGTTTTAATTTTTCAAAATTGCTGAATTGTGTACATGTATCAATCCGTATATCTATTTGGTCCTAATTTATAATTTTGAGCATGGTAAAATCATAGGAAGCATACATGGAGATGTTAAATCCTTAAGCAATGCAAGAGATTTATTCAAGGTTCTTTGATACCTTTTTATTGGGCTTTATATAGCAATTGATACGACATACAACCATCACTAAAATTGCTTCTAGTTTGTTGTTACAGGGCAAGGTAAGATGTAATAGGGAAAACAATATTAAATCAATTTTGTGATTGTGCAACATGATTTTGAATACAATGCATCGTTTATTTATGTAGTCCACAGGAAGAACAGCGCTGAATGCTGCAGCTGGAAGCGGTAGCGTTGAAGTCGTCAAAGCCATTCTGTCTAAAGGGGGCAACGTGAACACACCCGATAAGAACATGCTGACGCCCACTCACAGAGCGTCCATGAGAGGGCACTTTGAGGTTCTTCAGATATTAGCTAGCTACGATGCTGACTTTGGATGTGTTGATGTCATTCTAAACACACCTGTGCACTATGCTGCAGAAGGGGGCCATGCCCTGTGTTGCAGATACCTTGCACAGAGAGGTAGGTTGAAGTAGGAATTCAGCTTTGGATGTCAGCACTTGGTCTTTGATTTTTTTTCTTTGTGTACCATTACTCTTTAAAGGAACTATTAAATATTCTCCAGATTGACTTTTAATTTTAGGGTTGTTTCATAGTTCGTATAAAAACTACTTCTGAATATATCTACATGTAAGTCAGATGAACAATTTAATGGAGTATAAACATTATATTAAATATCAAACTATCGCAGTATATCCATTTTGACAAATGTCAGCTGTAGATAAAGCCTTAGACTAGTACTAATCTACTTGTTTTTCTTTGTTTTCTTTTGTTTTCATTTAAATAGGTGCCAAAGCACACATGAAGAATGAAGATGGCCTTCTTCCCAAAGTGATTGCAAAGAACTTTGGATTTAAGGATGCACTGAAGGAATGCAAGAAGGCTGAGAAACTTGCCAAAAAGATTCAGACTGGTGGCAAACTGCCCACGGAGCCATGGGCTGTCAGGGTGTATGATTGGGCAAATGCCAGACAAGAAGAACTCTCCAAGAAGTTCATGGAGATGGACCCAGAGATGAATGAAGTTATCTCTAAGGACCAGTTCTATGATGTCCTCATATCGTTTGATGCACCCGTCAATGAAGAAGACTTTAAGAAACTATTCCAGCTTCATGACAAGATGAAGGAAAATGTTATCAATTACAGTGACTTTCTAGGAGCCAAGAAGTATGTACACAAAACTTATCTCATGTCAGCATATGCCAAGAAGGATAAGAAGAAGAAGGGCAAAAAGGGCAAGAAGAAGAAGGGTAAAACCAAAGTGCCAATGCCTATTTGTTTGGGACCAGAAGGTGATAGAACAGAAAGGGGTGGACCCCCACCTGTATTCATTGAGAGACATGTACCATTCACTGATACTGGTCGCTTTGATCGCAACAGACCCCCACTTCATCCCATCCAGGATGACTCAGCGTGGTATCTTAGTCATCCAGAAAAGACTTACATTAATGTTAATGATGCTGCAAAGATGGGAGACTTAGACTCATTACGACAGGCGTTCATTCATGGTAGGAGCGTGGATGTACGAGACAAATACTTCAAGACGGCCCTCATGATTGCGTGTGGTCAAGGGAACTTTGAGATTTCCAAGTTTTTAGTTGATAATGGGTAAGTGCTGCATTTGATTTGCAATTTAGATATTAATGGTATTTCAATTTTGCTCTTCATAATTCATGCTTTTGTAGAGGCATTTTCAAAATTTAGTTTACTTCAGATGAAAACAAGTTAAAATACTGATGAAAAGTAGAATTTGGTTGCTAAAGTATTATGAAGAAATAACAATAAAACTGAAATGTGAGGAATGATCAAAACATTGGAAAAAGAAAAGAGAATCCATCGGAAGTTAACAGATTAACAAGAGACGCTTCTACCAAGCAGTGTCCATATCCTAATATACGTTTTGCACCTGTGAAGGAATGAGTTTCATACAGGATAAAGAAAAAGAGAGAGAGAAATGATTGCTATCACTTCTTTAGAAAACATAGTTATTCCAAACATTGATGAAACCCAAATTGACAAGAGACCAATATCTTCTTCCCATTCAGAGTAAGTCTATATAATATTTACTCCTTGTTGTTTCAAACAGAGCCCAGGTAAACACTTGTGACAACTTCAAGTGGACTCCTCTTCACCATGCTTGTCTGTCTGGTCAGCTAGACATTGTCCAGCGGTTAGTGGAGGCTGGAGCAGACATGAACGCTCAGGCATTGAATGGAGGGACACCGCTCATGAGGGCTATACAGACAGGCTCACCAAACGTTGTACAATACCTCATCAACAGAGGCTGTAGTGTGCAACTTGAAAATAGAAAAGGTAAGATTTGATTGAAATTGTTTTTTTATTAAGGGGATATTTCAAATGTATAATTGGCATATATTGGGACTTATGTCGAAAGAGTGCAATTTTTTTTAAAGAAGTAATTTAAATCCATATGTCATTTCCCTAGTTATTTCAGAAAACTAGAAACCTATTCATCTATATGTTATTTATGAGCAGAAAACTTTTAAGACCCTTTATTAGCTTTTAATTTAAGAATATTTTAGGTTCCAATATCTTCTCCAATATATCTGCAATTTGAAATACCCTAAATACCGGTAATAAGCAACACAAGCAGTACTAAAGCATTAAGCACTGATTTCTTTGGACTTGTACTTCTAAAACGTTAATTAGAAGGTGTTTAATCCATGAACTGTAAGATACTGGTTTTAAACTCCAATCTTGATTCATATTATCTCTCTTTAGGTGATACAGCAATGGATGTAGCAAGGTGGTGGGCTGATCCAAGGGTTCTTCAAATCGTCTCTGACAAGTTTGAAACCATCCCAACTCCAAAGGAAGGCAAGAAGAAGGGCAAGAAGAGCGCTGGCAAGAAGAGCGATGGAGTCAAGAGGGCACAATCTGTACCCCCTATCCCTCAGGGTGGTCTCATATCACAACCATCAGGGGTGAGCAATGCATTCCTTTGAAATCTGACCTGTGTATACATACAGTGATTTCCATTTAAAAGTCTATTTCTAACTAGATGAAATGTTCTTTAGAAGTCTACCAGTCGATCTACTTTCAATTTTTATTATAAGCTTATTTAATCAATGGAGGTCAACACGTAAGCATAGTCATATCTACCTTGATTGAACATGAGCTCACACTTGTTTTTTGAAGACCACTTTCCCAAATAATGATGCAATTTAACATGGAAAATGCTTTTTTCTTTTAAAAATACAGAACTAGGGTTACAGTTAGGTTTGGAGTTAGAGTAAAGTTACAGTACGGTCCGGGATTGAGGCTAAGAATTCAGTTAGTGTAGGAGATAAACCCGAAAGCAGTTTTCTCAGGAGCACTGTGCCTCATAATTGGTTACCAATAATATTGAATTTAAAGGACATCAAATATGATTTCAACAAGTATACATTTTCTTATGTAGACTAACATTTTACTTTTTTCTGTCCTTTCTTTAGACCGACTCTCCAATCACAACACCACGCGAGCGTAAAGGCTCCGTACTAAGAGCAGCCTCGGCCATGGCCGGGGGTATAGAACACCAGGAGGATATCACTTATATACCCCTCAAAGCATGGAGTAATGTACCAAATACCATGGAGCTTATCATCAAGAAGGAACAGAGAAGACAGAGGTATGGAGATGGTATTGACTTCCCTGACTACAGACATCCGTTTAATGAAAACTTCATGAAGAAATCAGAAGAACTTGGTGGGGTGGACTCCGACGATGATTGAAATTTATTTTGATTAAGATCCAAAATGGAATGAAAGAATTGATTAAGTCCTATTCAAATGAATAAATTCCCAAATGGTTATGATTATGGTGGATTTGTTTGGAACGTCGGAAGCTTGTTTCATAGAATACAAGTATGTATACAAGAATGTAGTGGGCTATTCACAGTGCAGCACATGTGTTGGAAGTTTCGGTGGGAGAGTTGAGAGAATGCTCAGTGACGCTATAAAGATCAACATTTTGATCAAGAGTTGCCTGCGATATGAAGTCCATTTTTGAATGCTTCTGATCGATGGCAATAACTACCTGGTACTTGTATCTCAACGGTCACGCATAAATGTGTCAATGAGTAGTCACATGTCATACAGAAAACATTTGCTGTAGATTTCATCTGTATTTATTCATCTATAGTAAACATGGGAATTTAATCAGGTGGGCGTTATTGAATATTGCTGCATTTTTTCCTTGTTGGTATTTTAGTGGAGATTGCAGTAATGGTAATCAATTCCTCCATCATTGCATTCTAATGTTTCCTGACTTTGTACACAGATCTGATATATATTATGCAATGCACATTAATGCTATCAAATCATGTTTAATTTAATGATAAATTTGTTTTGTTCGATCCATACAGCTATAAAAACAAACAAAACAAACATCAGTCATGGTTATGTTATGCATCATAACTTTTAAATGAATGCCATAGCGAACAAGTTGAGATTATGCACATAATTTATTTTTTATGCAAACGATAAAGCACAAATATTTGATTGAGCAATCATTTTTTTATAAAATCATCATGGCTTTTTAAAGTGTATCATGTATAGGTCACTATTTCTGTACCCTTAAATTAATGCTTCTATTTTATAGTAATTATGAATTGTGCATTACTCCTACATGTAGTCCTATAGAATGAATTATGAATCAATAAATATCATCAAGTTGGTATTTTAGTGACAAAAATATATTTGAGGAGTGTCTTTGATATGAAGTTAACTTATGTACTGAAATAATCATGTAGATTTTCAATTACATGTACAACTGTACTACATTTTGATATCGGATATAAATTAGAATCGGATTTCATGAGAAAAGCTAGTTTATGTGAAGTTGTGAACTGCATTTTAGTTAATTAGACTATTGTTCGTGGTCAATTTTTAAATGTTTGTATATTAGATATGTCTATCGACATCAACAAGCATTATTACAGTCATTTTGCAAGTTGTATAATTTTATGCAAAAGTATGAAGAACAATACAGGTTAAGTTTTTTTTAGTTTTGAAACAATTTGGGAAATTTTTTGGAGAACAATGTTTTTATATTGATTTGGAACAAAAAGAACGAGTATGATCTGAAAGGTCAAAAGGTGTTAATATGTACTTCTTTTGATTTGTAGACTTTATTTGCTTCACATCATAAGTTTCTGTTAAAGTGCCTCTATTTTTGTGAATTTTGTGTGAGGTAGAGAAATATTTTAGTGCTCATTGTGTAATATCATAAAAGTGATTATCAATAAATATTTATGTACATGAATTAATCCATCTTGACTTATCTGTCATATCGTAAGTCCAGTTGCAGCTTGTAGGAGCCATAAATGTTGATTTCTAATACTAACTTGAAATTAATTGAAACTAATTGAAAAACAAAATAATATTGTGAATATCTTCTCTATCAAACCTGGTCATACAAGAAAGAGGTATGTTAATAGAATATATATATATAACAAATTCTTAACAAAAATAAATTACCTGTGGCAACTTAACTGTCACAAACTTCTGTCATAAGTTTACGGTGATGGCTATGTATAGGATCAGTCATGGATTTAAATATAAGTGCTGTAAAACCAGAAATTTTTGCAGATTGTGGAGGGCCACTTATTCGTGACAATCAAATTGAAAGGAAAATTATAAACTAAAACTTCAAACTTTTGCAAAAAGTGACAACATGCCAAGTTCGTGAAAGTTGCTGGTTTCAGAGTATTTCAACATCAATGTAAATGTGTACACACAAATCTATGACAAACACACGTTTTGAAATTGTCAAGCAAGATATTTATTATCTTTCATTGCAATAGCGATACAATTGAGCACACAAATTGAAAACAGAACAAAACAATTCAGAAGATGAAGATACAATCTACAGATACCGTGACAAAATAATACGCTGGCAAATCATAGAACTTTGCAAGTTTGTGCCATTATTGTCTGTGTGAAACACTGTCCTTCATAACAAATGATTTGGTCAAAGTTCTTAACAATAAAATAAATTTTGTCTAATATGTCTACTACACGTACAATCAATGGATTATTTTAAAGACTCAAATTTAAGTATAAATCAAGTAGCTTTAAAAAAAAAATAGTGTTCCTGATGCAAAAGACCAAATAAATAAATGAACACATTACATGCTCCAAAATTATGATTGTACTTCAAACATGCTTTTAGCATAAATGTAAATAGAATTTTGAATCCACTGTGATATGCAATGTATATAGACTGGTTTAAGTAATATCAATTTGGTTTTTTTTTTCTTCACAGAAACTAATGTGGTTACACATGAAACATGAAGCATGATGAACATAATGTGTCCTTTTTGTATCTTCATGTTGCAAATAATAATCAAAGTCTAACATTCAATAATGCAAATAGCTTCAACTATGTGTTTTCATCTACAACAAAGCTGCAAGGAATTACCAAACTCAAGGTGTGCTCAAAATAAATAGCAATACAAAAAAAAAATGCTACAATGAAACGTTAGTCTATAAGAATTCTATTTCAGATGAACAATATCATAGCATTACATGTATATCTATATACACATTAAGAAATAACACATAGTTAATCCCTTGATTTAGGTTTTAAAAGGCATTTTACAGATGTGATTGATTCCATTAGCAAATATTACCAGCATTATAAAAATAGCCTAATAATTCATATATGTGAAAAGTATTATTAACACTGTTTTTCCATCGGAAATGAGTTTGTCATTTATTTTTCATTACAAAAGATAATGAAAGGGTATGATAAATGTTATAGATTCCTGATGCTTGTGCTTAACATTGTCAAATGACACTGCATCTTAATCCCTTTCCTTCAAATTTATAATAACATCAAATTATCAGTCGGAAAATAGAAACTGAAATTAATTATAGTTCATTGATCTTTGTAATGACAGCTAAAATTCATTCAATAATCATCTCTTATGAAATATACCAAGTCTTGGAATATCTTTCCTGAACAATATAACTCATTACCTGGCAAGGTTGTAATTGTTAGCTTCAGCCTTTCAAATCTATATTTTAGTCTTATTTCTAGAGCATACCATAGCAAAATTTAATTTTACATTAAAAATTAAGCAAAAGATATCAGTATGTTTTTTTTAAACCTTAGAATTTGAATGATTGAATCAATCCTAACCCATAATCTATTGAATACACCTCTATGTTCAATTACATTATTTATGTCATTTCATACTGTTCAGAATAATTGGATGAAAATAATATGACATACACAATGTAAATCTACATTTTCATTATACATCAAGCTAGAACATCTACATATAAAGTCAATGACAAGGAAGAAGAAAGTTCTAGTAGCTTAAGTAATACTACATAGAATGAAGACTGCATTTGATACGCATGTTATTCACAACAACAAAACAGCTCTTTCACCATGATGTTACAAGCATGTTTTAAAAAGAGATGAGCATTTCAAATTACCTTACTAAGCCAGGGTATTCTGTTGAACCCTCAAAATATGTCTGCCTACAAACCTTCAACAGATTCAGCAAAAATATATACCGGTAGCTTGAATAAACATAGGGATAAAGAGATATACTGGATTTTGTTTGATAATATAAAGTCTTTACCAAAAGTAAGACTAATATATGACTATTATGTTAAAGTATCATGGCTACTTCATAGTTAGTCAATTCGAAGCTGGCATCATGAATATATTCATATCAGAATAGAATAATATTTGATAATTTTCAATTGTCACAATTACTTGTCGGATGTTTTCATAAAACCCTCATAGGAACATTACTTGATACTTCCAAAACAAGGTGAAAGTTAAGTAAGTTCACATACACGTGATATGGTCAATCTCACAATGTATTAACAGCCCCAGTAAGCCAAATACAACAATTGTATATATGTGTGCATTACAGCTTCATCTGAACTCTTAAAACATTAAACATCTTTAATCTATATTCAAGGAATACAGAACAAATTGGGAGTTCTTTTTCCAAAGCAATCTATGACATGTGGTAGACTATTTCTGTGACATCAAAATACAGTATACTGTACTACCAAACTAGCCTGAAAAATGACAACACTTTAAAGCTTCATATATCTTGTCCAATGTAAAGAATTGCATCCCTGGAACTAGAATAGTGTCTTTATAGGAACGTTATAGAAAGCTTTGGTCTTACCTTTGCTCAACTTCAGTTTTGTAAAAGAAGAAAATATTGTCTCACTTGGAAAGAGATGCAATTAAACGGTCATTTAACTTTAAAAATAAAGAAAAAGAATGAATAAAATTGGAGTGGATCTGAAGCTTTATCTTCTTAAGAGAAAACTTCCCATCTCACCACCAGTTTTTACTTTACACTATAAATACAATGGTCAAGAGAAACATAAATTTGTCTCAAACTCTTGAGCAATAATGAGTTTTTTTTCAAAGTCAACATCTTTCTGATAAAAATAGCTGCATGTAAGACCATACAATCCTTATTACATTTACATTACAGGCAAAGTGAGAATGCATGTATTTAAGTTCAGCTGCTAAAATATATGAAGTTAAATGCTTCTAAATCATACATGATCACTAGTTGGAATGATATGTATATAACAATGAGAACAAGAGGAGCATAAAATACCACTCAAGTGTAACAGAATTGTTCAGTGGTATTTCTAGTATGAGCTACAATTACAACTGTAATTCTGTGCAAAGGTTTGTCGAACAAAACAATCTTCACAAAAATTGACCGATCTTCTGATATCTCATTGAAGATACTAAACAAATTGTGCAAAAATGTTTGAATAGTGCATATAATCTATAAAAACACTGATTAAGAAATATATTTAGGGAAGTTGCCTTGAAATAAAATAGGTGATATGACACATTAATAGAATTCTCAATTATAATATTACACAAATACATATGGTACTTAATATGGGAACAAAATAAATGCAACCTGAATTTGTGGAGTATAAATAATTTAGCAATGTCACTTGAAGATATGTTTTGGCACGGAATCGATCAATTAATTCAAATAATGTTTAACTCTAAAGTCTTTCCTCATCAAATGTTTCATATGGTCCTTCATGTTGAAACTCAGTGTGTGTCAAAAATATTTAACGTTTACAAAAATTCAAAGGATGGCCAACGAACATGATCTGTTCAGAAAAAAAATATGACAACAGGTATTAAGCTTACTATATAATTGGTGTGTCTGTATTACACTCCCAACTCAGGAGCTACAAATAATATTATCATCATCATCATTATTATTATTATTATTACTATTATTTCAAATCTTGAAAGCTGGCAGGGGGGGGGGGGGGCTGACTGCCAAACCTCTGCTCATTTGATTCAGGAAGTGCCAACCATAATACCTGGCTATAATATAGACTTATGTCACATTAAATTGCAGGAGCTTCAGGACTCTATTAATGAAATTCTTGTGTGGTTGGCAAAGTAGACACGTGTCTAGAGCTGAAGGCAATGTACGTAAGAAAGTGTATTGGACAAAAGTCAGATAAGGGAATTCTTGATAACTTTTGAGTCAATAACTAGGGCAAACTAGGCTACTCAAATCCTAAATGTAGATAGATGTCATACAAGATTATATTTTTCAAATGTGACAAAATAAGCCATATGATACTATTATTCCTCAGCTCATATTGCTAACAATCTTTAAGCTGTGTAATGTGTGCGAATGCAAAAACAGTTTGAACACCAATCTACAAATATTCACTTTAAATATTTGCATTTGAATAAATCAATAAATTGTTGAAATGGTGACGGTTAGATAACCCTTAGACGATAAACTTGTTTTCCTTCTTAAGTGTCATACCCACTGAACAGAAAGAACTATGAATGCTTGAAGATCTGTGCTAATAATAAGCAGGGGCTCTGGATACCCCTCCCCCTTTCCCTACGACTGAAATAGCCCTTATAGCTCTCCAAGAAGCAGCTTTTCTTCTTCATTACCTAATTTATTCTTCTTTAGATCAATGTCATCTGTTGAAAATAAAAAGCCCCAAGAAAGGGAAAAACTGAATGGTGTGACGAATACATTCATATGTCTGTTCATTCAAAATAATAGTAATAAAATAACAATTAGAGGATGATTTACATAATCATAAATACATTCATAAGAATCACAGTACTGAAGAAAATACTGTAAATGTTACATTGTAATATATATCATCTTAACTAAATTGAACTTGATGTGAAATATTATGTCAAATATATGGAGTTGTTTGGATAAAATTGCTCAAAATTTCCTTCAAATGAATACACTTTAATATCTTAACATGAATCAACAGTTGGTGCATACAGTGCAGTATATTTTTGGAATGGTGAGTTACATATTTCATAACAAATATATATAATTCTTTTACATCTTTTCAATTTCTAAACGAAGCATTATCTTACATCAAATAAAGAACAAAATATCTATTGACAAGTTACCACAATTTCACAAGAAAATAAGACTGACACAATTAGGGATTGTCTCATAAAAAATAAAGATATAACATACTTCTCTTTCAAAAATAAACTATACTTCCTTGTCTTTTCATTGCATTCACTTAAAACACCTGACAAGCAATGACCACTTGGTGGCGCTCTTTCATCTTAAGGACACAAATGTGGTTCATTTTTTAATAAAAATTTGAAAGAAAACAAACATTCAGTACTTCTCATTTTAAAACCTACCTTATGATACAACATGATTAGGCAGAACGGTGGATTTTCTCACTCATTTCACATGCATAAATCTACATATTTACAAAAAATCCCATTCACAAAACAGGAGCAATTCATTTTACGATCAATAATATCTTTTAAAGATGGCACCAAATATTAAAGGTAATCTCGAGTACTGGAAAAACCAAAATCTCATGATTGGAATTATCTGATTTTATTCCCTAAAATGTAAGGTATCGCCAGATCTGAATTTATCCAAACGTAACATTATCTGACTGATTTCACTGTAGGATGCCCCAAAACATTTTCCCTTTTGATTTCTTCTAAAAGGTTGCATTAATAATTTGTATCATTTCAATAAAAATAGAGATAACATTACTAGAATTCCATGTTATAATTTTGTTAAAGACACTGACATTAACTTTAATCAACATCATTGCAACTTTAAAATGACACCCACATAAAAGGCATTTCAAATGACAACACAGAAACAGATTACCGGTTCTTATATTTGCTCGTGCATATTTTACATGTATATTCATATTACATACAAGAATATATGCACCATCAAAAATATTCAACCTTTTTTTCTTCAAATTTCAATCATATTTTCACCCCTATTTGTATTTTTGAAATACCACCTTTTACTTGAAAACATTTTGTTCAGTAATAACTTTCACCATGGCCTTTTTCTCGTAATTTACATTGAGCTTTTCTTCCGACAAGAAAGACATAATTAACTATACAAGCATCAAACAATAAAATGACGGAGCATATGCTCACTGAATCTACAGACATTGTATTATATACAGATATCAATTCAATTACGCTGTACATTAATTTATACATCAATATGTTAAAGAGGACCAAATAATCTCCAAACATTTGGCAAGTGCATAATACATTAGCAACAACATGAAGAATGTTGTGATAAATCTTTGGTAACAATTTGAATAAAAACTGCCGCTGTTTTTTTTTTATTGATACGTCATCCAAGAATGGACAAGAAGTAATATAAAAGATAACAAAAAACACTAATAATGAATAAATAAATAAAATATAAAATGGTAATAAGTGAAGAAATCATCCACAGCATGCGTATAGTTTTCAATTTGGTCAAGTAGAGAGATACAAAGGAGAATGCTGTTCTCAGACATACAGTTAATGACTATGGAATTATGTTTAACATACTTATACCTCTTAACTTCCAAAGAGATGGAAATATGTCCTATGTTTTTGAAATCACAGAATAATCTCAAATTTCAAATCTCATATTTACACTGACGAAGCGTTTTCATCAGCAATACATTCGGCTACACGTATATATATGTACAACTGGATCAATATCAATTATGACCTCGTAAGAAGGAAAAGTACATACTTTTAAGCAAACAACTTGAAATAAACTTTACAGGACATAAATAAGTCATTCCATATAAATATAAAAATCTGACCACACAGGACTTGTTTAAGAAACATAAAAAAGATGGGCACGATTGCACTCCGTACCTGTGTAGTCTTTTTTTCTTAACATATAAAAGAAAATTTCTACTAAATGCACATAAAATACATATATATTGCAGAGTAAGCATGGAAGTTCAGAAAAGTGCACTTTTTATACAGAAGATGCACTAGGAACAATCCTTGTTTTCACTGGATGTATTTCTATAATAATCTAATTGAGGATTGTCTCTGCCGATGGGGGCATAATTTACCTTTAATAATGTTAAAATGGAAATGATAACTTTGGCTTGCCTACTGGTAATTGTACATGTCAAGTACACCCAATGCACACAGATAAATATTTACTTTTACCCCTCCCTCTGGCTATCAAGACAAATCTTCTTCATTATATAACATTAGATGAACAGATAATATATTGAATTTGATCAATATGTCTATAACTCATGAAAGCAAATCACAAGAACATTGTGACCTTTCGGATTAATTTCAAGACAATCTAGCATTAGACAAAATGTCTACTGCTTGAGAAATGCAATGTGAGCAGATTCACTAATAATTTGGAAATATTCTAAAGCTTATATTTCATTCAAAAGACTTAATGCTTGCCTTCTTTAACAACAATATACAGGAATATTTCTTTATTCATGGCACTGTCTCGTCACTGTTTTTTCCTCTTTCAAAATAAACAAATCTCTTTTGTTGACATTACATAATACATTCAACCAAGTTTAGTTACCATAATCCCATGTAAAGGATTTTCCTACATTACTGGCGATAATCCTTCGTAGGATTCCCTTTCTCATTCCCTGCGTGGTCTACGTCTCAAGGTGCCATAGTCTTCATAATCATTGGTGGATCGAATTCTCTTGCCAACTTGCACTTGTGACTGGGCAGTCAGCTGAAGGTGGATGGCTGCAGTGTTCAGTTTGCTCGTTGAGGTAAGGATACCTCGCAGCCCTTTCATTTTGGCACTCCTCAAGAGGATCTTAGGTACGGGTTGTGGAGGCAAGTTGATGCTGTCCTCCAGTTCGTCTTTGGTTTCATCATCCTCATCGTCGCCCTCCTCATTCTGTTTACTATCACTCTGTCCTTGCGCATTGTCATTATCATCTTGTGACAGCTGTGACTTGAGACGCCTTTGGAATGCCATTTCGGCAGGACTCTCTGCTTTCATGAGAGACTCCAGTGTCATGCCTGGGAAAGCGCTACCGTTGGAACGAGTGCTAAGGAAATCACTGAACTCGGTCTTGGTGTCCCAAAGTAAACCTGTCCCTGCGAAAGGATCCGAGAAGAGTTCTGGATTAATGTTATCCTCACTGCGTTCACCCTCATTCTCGGCCTTGCCTTTTTTCCCGCAACCGTCAGCTTCATCAGGGGCAGAGACCACATTCTTGTTGATATCCTCTTCCTTGTCATTGACTGCTTTCTTGGATTCACTTTCCTCTTCCTCATCTTCCTCCTCTTTCATTTCTTCTTCATTATCTTTATCTTTCTCTTCCACTTCTTCCTTCCCCTCAGCATCGATCAATCTAACATCCAACCGGTCCCGTATGCTGCTGTCAAACTTGGTGACCGAGGCTACAAAGTGCTTCGCCCATGTGATATGCAAGACGGGGGTGGAACTGCCTTCCTCCCACTTACAGATGTTGTCGTAGAGACGCAGGTAGAATCCGTAGCACTCAGGGTCTTTAGGGATGTGCCTGGCATCTCTGGAATGGTACACAGTGGCTTGCTTCAGGATGGTAGGGATTAATTCATTGGCCACTTCCAGGAATTCCTTGTAAACTTCCTCATCTTCCCGTTGGTAGTTGTATCTTGAAAGAAGAAAATGATAGGATTCAAAGAAATGAATTATCATATTTCACACAGTAAAAAAAAAAGTGTAATACTTAATAAAAGCTTTTCTCACCAATCATTCTAACAGTGTGATTTCATGGTGATATCTACCAATTGTGTATTTACATTGTACATTAGATAAAGTGAGAACCTTAATATCTGAACCGTTCAATTATTGTTTTGTTAGCTTTCCTGATCCCTTTGATATCAATTCATATTGCACACAACTGCTCTGCCTATCATTCACAAACTTTACTTAATACTTCTCAAAGGCAAACAGGCCAAGGCATTCATACTGAATATGAAAGTAAATCCAGTCATCCGCAGAAGTATTAAAACGAGTGCACCCTTTGAAGGTATATACATATTACAATGCAATTAAAACAAAATTGATAACGTTTTAATGGGAAAGCTGCTATGTTTGCATACACAACTAGAGAATGTCTGCTGGATTCATGCATTTCTAGCGCAGAGGTTTACAAAGTTACAACAAATCATTTACATACTTGTGAAGGATACTGTAAAATACTATGTACATTGAGCAAGACAATAGAGAATCTACTCACTGACTGAGCACTTTAGCTCCCTCTGCCCAGTACTGCATTGCCCTCTTGTACTGCTTCTGCCGGTAGAGATGACCACCCAGATAAGTGTAGGGATAGACATGGTGGTCAGAATAGAACTCCTTGCCCGCCTGAATAGCCTCCTCAAACAGTTCAAGGGTTGTAGGTCGATCTGGTGTGGGGTCAATGCTTTCAAGGTCACCAAGGTTGCTCAGAGCAAGAGGATACCTGCAGGATGAGAAAATTGAAAAGAAAGTTGATGACAGTCAGATTGCTCTGCTCCAAAAACAAGAATAGGACCTAATTTTTACCTCAAATTTCCCTAACATGTATGTATACATACTCTAAATTGTAAAACTGCTATTTGAATTCACATGTTTCAAAAGTTTTCACTGACCTGTGTGTTTAAAGGTGAACAAAGGACAACCTGGCTTTAGAGGTTCTGATATATTATACAATGCAAAAAATATAATGACCGCTCTATTACCTAAATAAAATTGCAGTCCATTCAGGAGGAAATAAAATCATTGTCTTGATAAGGTCGTGATTTGTCCAAATATATTGTATCTCCAATCTTGCTACAATAGTAGCAACTTACCATGCATTGTTTCTGAAGTTACTAAAGATAAGACTGATTGAAGGAGATACATCTAATATTAGATAGTTACACTCCATAGTAACTTATTATTAACAAACAAGGTTACCATTACCTTTCATGTCTGTACCTTTCCTATTGCACTTTTGTATATCATATATTTCATCTTTTGCACAAACTGCGCCTTGAGCATTTGATTGCCAAGTGGATTTGGCACCATACAAATCTTATGTATTATTATTATTATTGTTATTATTATAATTTTTATGTTACAATTCCCAGGCTTTAAAGTAATCACCATCCAAGAATACCAGCCAATGTATTTAGCAATCAAACACTTCATATAGCAAGGACGCTTTGAACAAGGATTTATCAAGACAACTTTGGAGAACAGTGAATAACTAAATTGGTAAGCGAATATGAACAGAAAGGGCAGGGAAGATGATTTACAACTAAAGGATATTGTCTTTCCCCTCCACAACAATTCCAGGAAACTATAAATTATATATACGTCAGAAGACTCCACAGGGAAATAACATAACTATAAAATGAAGTGCTTACTTTTTCAGATGGCCCATGTCATAGAGTGACCATAGTAGCTCCTGAAAAAGAAAAGACAGCATAAAATTCTAAAATTTACTGGATTACCAAATACTGAAACCTGATATCAAAATTAAGCAAAATTTATTGATTCATCAATACTAAAACCTCACTAATAAGAAAAATTTGCTGAATTGTCAAATGATACACATTAAGTCATTACTAACATGGGGTAGAAGTCTTTTCTAATTACAATAAACATGTACCCAGTACATGTACATGTATGAAGTCTTTGCACGTGGATGAGATTGAAATGGCAATCACTCACTTTCCTCTATGTACTCAGTGAGGAATTACTGGGTTGTCATGACAACAATATCTAACAACAATCTAAATACGACAATATCCCAGCATACACCCACACAAAATATATATAATGCCTTGTATTAAGTGCATCACAAGTACACTTTGCCTCTTGGTAGAGGAACTCTACACTTAATACACACTTAATACGTTATTATATGTATGTACATCGGTCTGTAAATATAAACGGTTTCACATCATGAAGAGTCTAGTTAACTAAATGTCAATCAGGCATTATTCAATACAGCTCAGTCTGCATGACAACCATTAAGCTTCTACAGCACAGGAATCAATTGTATGCTAATTGATTCCACGATTAGAACAAATGCAGTCTTTCAGAAATATTGTCTATATTCTAAACTTTACTCAGCTTTTTAGCTTTTGCTCACAATTTTCTTCATGCAAATCTCTTTTCTCCCCTGAAATCAGATTTTATAAAATTGTCAATATGTTAGTAATAAAATCACTGTTTCTTCATTGTAAGACAACCTTACATATGACGTAATTAAAAGGCAGCTCAGGAAAAAAACAAATGGCTCATCTATTTTTAGGTGTTTGTTCACATTATTGAATTCCAGCAGCCAGTGGCACTGAAGACGCTGAAGGAATGGGACATCGCCTCGCTGGGAAACAAGGACAATTTGCACACAGAATAAACACATGAAAATGAGTCACTTCGTCTGATTTCACTCTCACGTGTAGTGTACACTTCATGGACCAGTATGAAGAGATGAGACGGAGTAAAATCAAATCAGATATTTTAATGTCACATTGTCATTCTGTCTGGTCTACTTGCACAGTGCATGAGTACTTGCTCTAGGCAGAAATGCATTATTCTTGCCTGGGTGTAATAACATAAATCAGAGGCCTGAGCATAATTTTTCACCTTTGCAAGTATTTGCAAATTGTGAGTAGCTAAATTGGGATGCATTCAGATTCCATTTCAGCCAGACATTTGTTCACGTTTTGAGACATTAAAACCCTTCTCCCCTTTCTTTACCCCCCCCCCCCCCCTCTCTATCTCACTCTCTATCTCTCTTCCTCTTTTTATCTTCTCTATAACATGCACAAATATAAATGTTAAAGGGAGAGTCTTTATGTTCTCATATTTCTCAGTTTCCCTTTGAAAATTTCCCCACAGACAATTACTTGATTAGAATCATAATGGCCATTTCATCCATTTGAGAAAAAGACTGTTGAACTTGAAAGTACATGTACTGTTATGAATAATAGAGGGGCGCAAATTTAATTACATGCACACTTTCTTGTGTGTTCACATGCCTTTATTTTGTGAGTCGAGTGCTGTTTTCTTTCAATGGCCCATGAAATAAACAAAAAATTATTCACACATTTCCAGATCATACCAGAAATGGCAAGCAAAATCATACCTAGATGCATACTTTTTCCTTCTTATTTGAATCTATCATGGGCTTCCATTTTCTTCCCTACATAGGAATATTTGTTATGCATTAAAACTCTCAGCAAGCATGTTTAGAGCAATGCACACACACAAATGGGTTGAAGGGAAATCAAACCTTGATAGCAAACTACTCTGAAGGAAAACAGACAAATCAGAGAAGTAGACTGGTGAAAGTTTGAATGAAATCTGACAAAAAATGAGAAAGTGAATTTTTAAAAGTTGTATTAAATCACTATACAACTGTAGCTTTGTGCTCTTCAAATTGGCTGAATTGGTAATGTCTCTGTGATGTAGTAGCGAACAACTTTCCCATTTGTTCCAACACACACAATGACTGAAACTTTAAGTTTTCAAAAATGTATGACTGGAGATTCTATTCTCTAGAGGATCAATAATAATAATATACTATCCATAATAGATTCTGAGTAGAGCCTCAAGGGGAGAAGACATTTTAGAAAAACAGAAATTGATTATATTTTTGTACACGATAAATGGGAGAGGTACAGTATCTGGGACTACGTCACAATCCACTGACTAAACTGCTTATATGAGATTTGCTTAGACAGATACTGTTTTCACACTGGCAATATTTTGCTTAACCCTGTACTATAGGTGGGGTTAAGGGGGGGTCTTAGCCCCACCTATAGTACGGGGTTAAGCCTATTCCACTTTCTGTTCAGACTGGTTTTTACCAAAGTGGGCTAAAGTTGGCTAACCCCACCTATAGTACGGGGTTAACTAACCCTGCAAAATAGCAGGGCTAACTCCGCAATTGTGGTGCTAACTCCTGCTAACCCCGCAATTGCGGTGCTAAGCAAATGAATGAGAACAGAAACGAAAAATAGTCCGGTACTACGCAATCGAGCGTATCGCAGCTGGCCAGATGCGAAGTATGTCCAATCATAACATACACGATATCCGGGGTTAACGAAATGCAGTGAGAACAGCGGGAATTTTCTTATTCCGGAATAGGCGCTAGTACGGGACTAAAAACAGCGAGTGTGAAAAGCCAAAAAAATAGTCCGGGGTTAAGGATAGTACGGGGCTAAGCAAAACCAGTGTGAAAAGAGTATTAGTAATCTCATATTTCAAACATTCATAACTTTGATATTATTTGTCAGATGTATTTCAAACTTTCGCCATTATGATTATCTGATTTTTCTGCTTTCATACAAATGAACTTATTACAAGGGTAGGATGGCCCTTTAAGAATGTTCAAATTACGAACTCCACATCCTACATAGTGGCAACTGTACATATGTTTGCACTATTTGTGCTAGGGTTTGTGCACTGTTGTCACTGCTTGTATAGAGTCATTCTGAAATATCATGGCTTATAAATCTAAAAAGATAGAGAAAAGTAATTTCTCTAAAACAGGAAGACTTGAGTTATGCTTCATGGTTTATTGAGAGATATTGCAATGGACAAGAAATAGCCATTAGTCAGACTTCAGTGATTTGGTCATTGAGGATTGAGAAAATGGGGAATAATACCTTAAGGACAGACAATCGCAGTAGTTTGGAATTCAGACCGTTTGATTAAAAAAAACCACTCTAATATCAATGATTGAGAACAAGTACCATACAAAACAAAATCAATACGGTATAGACATCAAATTGATGCTTGATCAGGGAATAATTTTCCTGGTATCGCATCGCAATTTGCTATGCATTTTTGCATGACTGCTATACAAAATATCTTTTGTGTAGCAGTTTTCTTCCATAGAAATGTACAGAATTTCATTTGAAATATTTATCCATCGGCTGAAATTGCTAATCAAAAAATTTGAGGAAAATTATTCCCTGTTGATGTATGACCAAGAATACGCAAGTGGAAGGAAAGATACCTATCAGTTAAAAACTCTGTCGCAAAAATTAATCAATGAAATTGACAACAAAGATATGTATATTATTATGAGTCACACCATTCTCATGTATGCAACATTCATGAACCTCTTTGTCTTTTGGCCTTGTTCACATACGTGTACATGTATGCTGCAATATTTTTTTTAAAGGTGGTTTACTGCATCATATGTGAGGCTTTCTTATTTATCATCATCAACCACTAAGAATTCATGCTAGATATGATTGATTAAAAACCTGATTGAAGTGTATAGCAGAGGTGTGTATGAAAATGAATTCATTAGAAGGGTGAGTGGCCAGGAAACAAGACCGTCACCTAAGTTAATTTCAATACTGCTCTTGGCATTTTTTGCCGATGATACGCTGAAAGGTTAATAACCAGACCTAATAACTAAACCATACCATTCACACCATGCTATGAGTAATGCCACAGCTCATCTCTACTCTACAGACATGACAATCATCACGCGATCTTAGCCTTGTGTCATGCAGATGAGTCTCTCAATCTCAATCGAACAATCATGCATGAATATGGCTTCATAGTAGTTGCATCATTTTCAAGCTTTTAATTTCTGTGTTTTGCAGAGAGGTGAATTTGTAAGATGAGGCAGAAACCTGAATCTTAAAAAAGCAGCCCAATTTTGTCTCATCAAAAATACAGTGCATTTTGAGCCAGAGGTGTGTTCACTAATATAATAAACACTGAGCTAACACCAGGGTTGGCATATTTCCCGCTTCGGAGGCTTATTTCCCGGACGGCGAGAAAGTGGTATTTACCGGTATTTCCCGCTTTTTACCGGTATTTACCGCTTTTTACCTTTTTGAACATAATAACAATGGTGATGAGTATGGTTGCTCTGGTGTGTACTATTTGTGTGTGTGTGGGTGTGTGTTTGTTCGTGTGTTTGTCTATGTCTGTTATTATGAAATGCTGGAAAAAATACAAGAAAAAGATCCCAAATATACACCTAATCTTGATGGGAACCAAAACCTTCATACTAAGTTACTTTTATTGTAAAGTTTAAGATATTTTAATAAAATCAGTGAAAATTTGAACAAAATCGGGCAAGGAATAAGGAAGTTAAAGCTTTTTTAAATGATTAGACACTAGAGGGATATATTCAATTTGATGACATCATTTGTAGACAACTCTCCATGCCTTTTGTACATCAAATTGCACAATTCTTTCGTTTTCTTTGTATTTATTTGTGTTCTTGATCCGACTTCATAACATGTGAAGCAGAATATCATTTTGCATGCTATACCTTGCTTTCAGGGGAGTAGATTATCTCAATCACAAGAAAGAAGGAAAAACATTTGATGTCCAAAAGGCATGGAGAGTTGTCCACAAATGATGTCATCAAATTAAATATATCCCTCTAGTGTCTAATCATTTAAAAAAGCTTTAACTTCCTTA